TAGAGATGAGATCTCGCCAAGTTGCCTAGGCTGGTCTCGAACCAGCAGGCTCAGGCAATCCTCTCACCTCTGCCTCCCAAAATGCTGGGATTACAGGCATGAGCCCAGCTTTTTCTTTTTTTGAGTCAGGGTCTCACCCTGTCGCCCAGATTGAATTGCAGTGGCTCATCGCAGCCTTGATCTCTTGGGCTCAGGTGATTCTCCCGCTTCAGCCTCTCAAGTAGCTAGCATTACAGGTGTGCGCCACCACACCTGGCTAATTTAAAAAATTTTTTTTGTAGAGCCAAGGTCTCACTATATTTCCTGGGCTCGTCTTGAACAACATGAGCTCAAGCTATTTTCCCACCTCAGCCTCCCAAAGTGCTGAGATTACAGGCATGAGCCACCATGCCTGGCCTTCAAAACATCTTTCTACTGGTGAGTAATGCCTAGGGAAAAAAAAAGTCTCACTATCTCACTGGCTTCAACTCAAGAATGACCAGGTCAGACCCTCTACCCAAGCCACCTCCTGTCTTCCTGCTCTTTCCCATGTCTCCACTAGGGAAATCTTCCTAGTACTCACTTCCTGTACCCTTCCAGTATTTATGGGCTCCATGGGACCAGGTGCCCCATCTTTGTCCAATAATTCCAGTCCATTGGCTTCTGCCTGCTCACCTGTTGGATTGGGTTGGACCTGGGACTGTTGCCTCCCATGGCCACTGTGTGTCATTGCAGGAGCCATGGCCACCTGCGGCTGTGTTCCCCACAGGCTGACTGGCACAGGTCCACACTTGACAGGAGGGTGGTGGTCGGTATACCCTGCCAACCCAGCTGTGCCCACATGGCCAACCCTCTCCCTGCCGGAACCCTGGAGCAGCTTTTCTCGGGGTGACAGTCTGGGTGCTGTGGGATTTTCAGTGCCTGCAAGCCTTTCTGTTCTAGATAGGCCTGTTCCCATCTCTTGCATGCTCTGGCTCTGCCTTACATCTTAGATCGTTTTCTGACTCCATTCTCCTTCCTGGCTACCTCAAGGCAGGTCCTGGGAGGTTCAAGAGGAAGCTCTTGAGCACAGTTCCACAATGCCCTCTGCTTGGAGGTCACTTGCACCCTGCACCCACTGTGAGTTTGGTCAAGGCCAGGGAGGTGGTCAGACTTAGCAGAGGGCCTTTCTTTTTTTTTTATTTATTGTAGAGATGAGTTGCCCAGGTGGGTCTCGAACCCGCGGGCTCACGCAATCCACTCCACCTCAGTCTCCCAAAGGTGCAAGATTACAGGCTGAGCCACCGAGCCCGGCTAGGGCCTTTCTTATGCAAGAGTAAGAATCACAGAATGGTCCGGTAATGCCTTTTTTTTTGAGCTAGAGTCTTACTCTGTTGCAGTGCAGGCACAATCAGTTACCACAGCCTCAACCTCCTGGGCTCAGGTGATCCTTCTGCCTCAGCCTTCCAAGCAGCTGGGACTACAGGCAAGTGCCACCACACCAGCTAATTTTTTTATTTTTCATAGAGACGAGGTCTCACTAAATTGCCTGGGTCGGCCTCGAATTCCTGGGCTCAGGCAATTCTCAAGCAAGCCTCCCAAAGTGCTGGGATTACAGGCATGAGCCACCACACCCAGCCTGGTAATGCTTTTAACTGGCAAGAACTTGAGACTCAGACTTCTTTGGACCTCTGTGAGATTCAAAGGACAGGGTCAGGGATATTCCTGGTCCACCCTTTCTCGGGGGTCAGACTTCTGCGTGGGGAGCCTTAAGATGCCTTAGTGGAGAAACTGAAGGGATGGCAGTAGGGGTGAGAGCCAGAAGGGTTAGGGCAGGCAGTCAGGCCTTTGGTTCCAGCAGTCTTATTAACTGGTGCTCCTTGGGAGATGCCATCCTCCCACATCCTCCGTGGGTGAATTCTCTGGCCACCCCAGGACTCCTGCTCATTGCTAAGGCTCAAGGCCAGGCTGAGGGTGGGCTCCTGGCCGAGGCAGTAGGAGCCTTTCTTCCTTATCATTCTCGTCTACCTTTCCCACATCTCCTTTCTCTTCTCTGTTGTCGTACCTGGCTTTTGCCCTGAAATTAAACTCCTTTAGAGTATGTGCTTCTGGTTAAAATCCAAAGGGGAAAGATCTAGGACATTTCAGGGGAATCCTTCACCCCCATCAAGAATGTGTTTAGCAGGGCTCCGTGGCTCAGCCTGTAATCCCGCGCTTTGGGAGGCTGAGGTGAGTGGATTGCCTAAGCCCGCGGGTTCGAGACCCGCGTGGGCAACTTGGCGAGCCCTCATCTCTACAATAAATCAAAAACTAGTCGGGCGTGGTAGCGCATGCCTGTAGTTCCAGGTACTCGGAAGGCTGAGGTGGAAGGATCGCCGGAGCCCAGCAGGTCGAGGCAGTGGTGGCCGGGAGCAGCCACTGCACTCCAGTCTGGGCAACAGAGTGAGACTCCAACTCAAAACAAACAAAACAAAACAAAAAGAATATGTTTAAATTTCGAGCTGATAATAAAGGGTAGAGAAAGTGATATAAATAAATCAAGCCTCAATAGAGAAATCAAGTGAATGCTTTAGAGGCCTCATGGGGCCCCTAGCTGTCCCAGGTCTGCTGGCCTGCCTGTCCCACACGAGGCCCATGACTGGGGTTGCTGACACCACGACAGGCCCAAGAGCTGTCCAGGGAACTCCAACTTTAGGGCTCTGCCCTGCCTACAGTGTGCCCCTCATTTTCCCTCTGGGCCATGTGGTCAGCCAAGGCCTTAGCATGCCTGGTTGAGTCATAGCTAGGGTGTGGTAGGGGTGGGAGAGCCCACCCAGGCAGCAGAAGCCTCCTCCTCTCCTCTGTGAGGATCTGTGTAGGTATCTATTCATAGCAGCTTAGGTCACCTAAATCACCTCTCTCACTAGCACATCCAGCTAAAAACTGGGAGGCAGAACATCACAAGTCTGGAGATGTGGCGACTCCTAGTAGGCTGGAGAGGGGTGGTATCTGGGGATACCTCCATTGCGGCAGCCCTGTGTATGTGTGTGGGTTTGGGATGAGATCAGTGCTTCCAGACCCCTCGCCTTTCCCACACCCCTTGGAGATCAGCGGGAGGGCTGGAGTTGCGGTGGGACAGGATGGCCCACTGGAACGGGATCACAGGAGCCAGGCCAGGGCATCCCCAGGATCCAGACCCTTGGGGCCCCTTACCTTCCTTCCAGACCTGCCCATGTGGGTTCTGCTCACCTGCTGCGGGGGCACTAGCTGGAACTATCTGCTGTAGCCTTAAAGTCTGCAAGGGGAGGAGTGCCACCACTAGGGCTTATGAGGACTGGAGGCCTGGCTCTTATCAAGGATGATGACACAGAGTAGACAGCTGGGGCCTTGTCTCTAACTCATTTTCACCTCATGCCAGTATTCTAGGTAAATCATCCCACTGCTGTTGTACTGCTTAACATCCCTGTCTCCTTACTGTCCACAGCAATTTGGCTTCAAGCTATCTAGACAAATCTTAACTGTTGCATCCCTGGCATACTTTCAGGCCAATGTACTTTACACTTGGCTCCCCTCTGCTTGGTATATCCCTCCCTTCTTTCTTCAAACACCTTGACTTTTCAAGGTCCACCCATTAACCTCCTCTCTGTGCTCCCAATCTCCTAACACAATGTCTTATTCCTGTTGGTACACATGGCAGCTTAATGAATGAAGCCTGGCCTAGAGGCCAGGTTTACTCTCCTTGTCCCACTCCACCTGGGACGGGGGACGGCAAAGGAAGGCACAGGCCTCAGGAGTGCCTGGGAACTGTAGCAGCAGGCTTGGCTGGAGGACCTGCAGCTACTGGGAAAGTTCCCTCTGCTCCACTGGGAGCTGGGCATGAGTTCTTTCATAAAGTAGGGGGATATACAGGAGGTAGAAAGAAAAGGGGGACCTAGGCTCCAGCAGTCACCTCCTTTATGGAGACCTTCTCTTGAGCATCAATCTCCTCTGGAGTGGGAGGGAACTCAGCATTTTGCCCTTGGTGGGATGTGAAGGGAGTACAGCCAGGGAGGGAAAGGAAGTTCTTGTGCTTTGGCACTGGAAAAGATGGAAGAAACTGAGGGTTCAATTCTGCAAAGCTCACTAAATCCCTAGCTCTCTGCTAGTCCCCCACTACCCATCTCCCTTGGGACTCCCAGACACCCCACATTACACAGTATTCAAGTTTGGGTTGTCCTGACCAAGATTTCCTACCCAGCACCCAATACATACAACCTCCCAGCAGCTTAGGGTGCAAGGCAGCCCAATGGCAACTGGCCTGCCTGGTTGGGGGTGGTCAGGTTCTTCTGTTCCCTAAAACACGGGGAAAAAAGGAAACCAGTCCCAGGGTCCAAGGGTCCAGAATGTTGCCCAGGGGTTTTTATGGAGTTCATAATCTTTCTCTAGGGATTGTTTCCCATCGTCCAAGCTGGAGTGCAGTGGCACACTTACGGCCACCACAGCCTCGACTTGCTGGGCTCTGGTGATCCTTCCAAGTGCCGGAACTACAGGCGGTCACTACCACGCCCAGCTAATTTTTTATTTATTGTAAAGACGAGGTCTCGCCAAGTTGCCTGGGCTGGTCTCAAACCCACGGGCTCAGGCAATCCATTTGCCTCAGCCTCCCAAAGTGTTGAAATTACAGGCTGAGCCACTGAGCCCCACTTTTTTTTAAAGTCAGAGTCTAACTCAGTCACCAGGCTGGAGTGCAGTGGCACGCTCATGGCCACCGCAGCCTCAACCTGCTGGGCTCAGGTGATCCTTCCACCTCAGCCTTCCAAGTAGCTGGAACCACAGGGACATGCCACCACTACGCCAGGCTAATTTTTTGATTTATTGTAGAGTCAAGGTCTCACTAAGTTACCCAGGCCTTGAACCCATGCGTGCAGGCAATCCTCTTGCCTCTGCCTCCCAAAGTGCTGGGATTACAGACGTGAGCCACCACGCCCAGCCTTCTCCAGGGGTTAATCAAAGGAAGTAAAATTGTTCACTTTCTGCCTCATACCTCTTACCTCCAGAATTTTAACACAACCAGATTAAAAAGATTCATCTAGAAAAGGGGTTTATCAAGACACCATTAAAGTAGCCATAGCATTGTAAGGAGCCCCAGAGATAAACAGAAAGTCTAGGTTGGATATGAGAGAACAATTTGTTATAATGAACCAGAAGTACAAATTTCCACTGAAACTGGAACAGTTGACAGAATATGGCTGAACTTAGTTAACCTTTAAGAGAAATAAGAAAAAGGCCAAACAAATCCAGTGAATGGGAAAGCCCTAGACTGGTTTGGAATAAACACCAGGATAACTGCATTTGAGCATGAGTATCTTTCAATTCCTCCCAGCTGTCTATGATCATTCTCTCATCCTTCTCCCTTCTGACAAATCTGCTAAACCAAATGGTTCTTCCTCTAGATTGTGGATGTAAGCAAGCCCAATAATACCCCTGTGGACATGATAGAAAGCCAAGAGAAAAGTTTGTAAATCTCATACAAGGGTAAAAGTGCAAGTATTAAATCTGGCATTCTAGTTATCATCCATGTGGTGTCAACACACATGGTAGCAACTTCAATGAAATCAGAACTGCCACCAAATGTAATCTGTAGTGATATCAACGTTCTTAATTTCTTACACTAAGTTATCAATGTGGCAGAATGCATTTTTGAGCTCCAGACTTTCTAAACACTTCTAAGATGCTATTAAAGAGAATATAGAACACAACTCTGAGAAACCTTGGCAAAGGAAGGAACGCTGACTGGATCTTTCTGGGACCTTTTTGTGGGGGTACAGATGAACAGAAGAAATGTTAGTATGTCAGAGAATATGACAGGTGAGGGGAGGCAGGGGGAGGCAGAGGTAGGAAGAGGGTGTTCTAGCCCCAAGGCTAACGCATTCATGTTCAAAGAGAAGTCTGGGTAGAGGGGGGAAAAAAATCAAGGGGAGAAAAAGGTTTCATATAACACAGTATCAAAAAGTAAAAGGAACACACTAAATGCACAAACTGGTAACAGGTAAGTCCATAGCCTATTGTGATAGGTCCATCCAGCAACAATCTGGTTTCTTATCATCTGTCATTTCTAGGTTATTTACAGATGTGATGACTTTTTAACAAGAGTCTCTCACAGGAAGGTGGGCAGGCTTCAATCATTGGTTTCAGGATCTGTCTGCGCCATGTATGCATCCAACTCGGCATCCAGGTGTCCTTTTGTTTTCGACATATATGCATCCAGTTGGTTGTCAAGCTGCTCCTTGGTCAATACAGGGCGAGCAAGGGCACCTCTACCTCGTCCACGGCCTCGGCCTCGGCCTCCAAAGCCCCCTCTTCCCCGACCTATCATACCCCGACCTGGCCCAAGGGAAAAAAAAAAGACAGTTACAAGTAGGTTTAATGGGTGCTATAGTAAATGCCCCTTACAGCAGTGGGGCCTAGCTGAGAAAAGCTGAAGGGCAGGGCAAAGAGGAGAATCTGGAAAAACAGGAAACACACTGGGTAGAAAGCAACACATGGAAAGCACACATAATGAATCCCTTATTACATGCTCTAAACGCTATTTGAAAATTTTTTTATTCTATCAACCAAGGAAAATAATTGACTGACAGTTAAAATTTTTAAAAACTTTAATCTACCCTAAGAAAAAGAAATTACCTAATGTTTGAGACTCCCTGTAAGTTCATAATTAAAATATATGATAGATAAGCCCATTTAGTAGACAGGGAGGTGGTTAACAAGGGCATAGAGAATCAGGGGTGTGAAGGCAGATAGACAGTTTTCAAATTAAGATTACTGGAGACCCTCTGGAAAGTTATCTCACCCCTCCTTAAATTTATCAAGTCTAATGAACTCACTCCATGTCAGGAGACTGAGGAGTTTTCTGACATAGGAACAACATGGGGCGATGGGGAAAAACATTTTGAGTAGTCTCAACCACTTCTATCTCTGACTCTAGTCACCTTATGACAATTGACAATTGTGGATATCTGAGAGGCAGTTTCAATTCACCTAACAAAACACACCCAGCTTTTTGAAAAGCTACTTTAGTCTTTCCCATCCCCGTGATGTCTCTCTCAGAATCCAAGTCAAGATAATTTGGAAACACGCTATTCATCCTGAAACCCAAACTAGCTTGCACTTCACTCAATAAGCCTAGCAGCAAATAATGGGAGATTAAAAAAAAAAAAACACAAGCCTTCGGTTATCAAATTTCCTTTCCTAACAATCATTCCTTGGCAACTTTAAGGTCATAAATTATGGACGACCCACCACACACTTTAAAAGGACTGTAGCAAATATACAAAGGGGCTACAAAAGATTTGTTTTTTTCCTGACAGGTGTTGTTGGGAGTTTTCCACTAAGCTCTAAACCAGAAGGCTCCCATGAGATTTGGCACAAACAACAGCAACACCATTAAACTCTTTTCCAATATGGGTCATGAGGTCACAAGGCAACTATCAATAAAACTCAAAGGTTAGGATTATCAGCAAGAGCCAATTAACTGATAATACTATCTTGCTCTTTATTTAAGCAAAGAGTCATTTCTGGTTCCCCATAGGCACAAACTTCACTCAAATTTTCCTGGTTTCAGAGCCAAAGTCCAGCTCCAAGCCTCATCATCCTTTTTTTTTTTTTTTTTTTTTCCTGAGTTGGAGTCTCACTTTGTCGCCCAAACTGGAGTGCAGTGGCCGCTACCTGCCACTGCAGCCTCGACCTGCTGGGCTCTGGCGATCCTTCCGCTTCAGTCTTCCAAGTAGCTGGAAACACAGGTACGCGTTACCACGCCTGACTAATTTTTGATTTATTGTAGAGATGAGGTCTCACCAAGTTGCCCAGGCGGGTCTCGAACCCGCGGGCTCAGGCAATCCTCTCACCTCAGCCTCCCAAAGTACGGGATTACAGGCTGAACCACGAGCCCAGCTTCATCATCCTCTTTAACTCTGCTTCATCTCTGTACATCTCCCTCTTCTCTATTTTTGTGTCTCAATTGGGATATTGAGCTATAGCGTGAGTGTGTGGTGGTGATGGGAGAGGGACAGAGAAAGGTAAAACCCTAAACTGACAAATTTTGTGGGGTAATTTTAATATAATTTAAACTTGCAAAACCTGGAAGACTGCATATAACCAGGCTCTGTAATGTGCACTTGACTGGTTCTTGGAAAAATCATAAGACTTTCACACTACCAGCATGGGAATTTAGGAAATAAGCCAGTTTCAAATAACAAAAACAAGACAAACAAAGAAGCCTGCCTACGACTCGAAGCTGTGCAGAAAGGTGGCTCTGAGTTTGTAAGGGAGGAAAATAGGGGGAGCTACTCTCTGAAGTTGGTAGCTGACTAACCTCTACCACCGATTCCGCCACGACCCATAGCTCCACGCCCTAGGCCCCCTCTCCCAGGACCTCCACGACCTCGAACACCACCTCTTCTTAAGCCCATTCGGGGAGCTACGGCTCGTCCGCCTCGGAGCAGGTTTTGACCTTGGAGAGGAGGCATACAATGTATATGCAGGTAAATCCAAGAAACACAAAGTAGACTCTAACCAAAGGAAGGCGGTGAGGGTTAAATGAGAGTAATTCAGTTAATTTTTAGGTTGGTTGGGCCAAGCTGCACACAGAGGGTGAATAGATTAAGCTGCTCTTTATTAAATTCATTCAACAAGTCTGACCACAAATCCATTATTGGAAGAAGGTCAATTAGTAAGTACATACATTTAATAAGTATCTGCTGAATAATTACATAGATACCTAGCATTATGGCAGATTTAAAAATAAATACTGTGGTTCCTGTTCTTAATGCATTTTTGCAGGGAACAAGAACTATACAGGGAACAGAGTAATGGTGCCCAAAATGTAATATTTAAATTAAGTGCTATGGGTCAACTTGTCCTCTTTTTTCCAGAAGTAACAATGTTTTACTAGCACCAGGAACAGAGATGGTTAGTTAAGATAAAGGCCAAAAGACCCATATATTTGTTAAATTTGACTTATTTCTAGAACTTAAATGTGCTAAGCAGCAGCAGGGTGTTTTAAAATGGAATGGAGATGACATGAATTACCTGTTATGCAGGTCAAAGCCTCTCACCATTGCACATTATCAGAAAAGGAATGGTATTGATAAAAAAAACATGCAGCACTATTAAAAATATGTGATTTCAAGTTATTATATTAATACAAATTCAGGCTTAAAGATGTTAAACAAATGTGTCCATAAGCAGCCCGAGAGAAAAGGGAAGGGGGTAGGGCCCGACAATCATCAGGGTACACAGCACTGACCTCGGAGCGACATCCCGCCCCTAAGCAGGGTTCTGGTGGCACGTCCCCCACGCAGTCCTCCTCTGGGCAAGCCTCTTTGGATTATGGGCAGGCCTCGTCCTCCAATTGCTCCC